GTAAACACCTAAACAAATAAAAACGAATAAAGATCTAACTATTACATTTGGGACCCTAACTACAATCTAAAGGGGCAAAGAATGAAATAAAATAATAACCTAACTATTACAATTTAGCGTTTAATTGCCTTTCAAATAATCATCAAAAATTAAATTAAATATACGAAACTTAGAACGAATAAAACAAATAACTAAAAAAAAATCACTCAAAACATGTAAATTCACACATAAAAACACATAAGAGCACATAAGAGAATTTAAAATAAAACAAGAAGATACCACCCTTGAAGTAGTAGCTAATTGGGTTTGGTTTTACCTATTTAACTCCAAAATTAACAAAAATCATCAAGGCACCAATTTAATTAACAAATAAATCATAACAAAATGGAAATAATCATGAAACTTATCAATTGAACACTTAAATGAAGTGTAATCAATAATTAAAGAAGAAAAGCAACTTCTATTTAAGCAATCAAATCTATCAGGGACCTAATTGCAAAAATTAATAAAAGATTTAAGGTCAAATTATAATTATCACAAAGATCTGGGGTCAAAATTAAAGAAAAATAAAAAGTTAGGGACCTATTTGCAATTCAATTAGAGACTTAATTGAAAGAAATCTAAAATATTAAGGGCCATAGAACAATTATTCAAAAGTACATGGACTGTTCTGCAAATTTATTACCAGATCACTTAAGGAATTGGGCCACTGGGCCATTCTTTATTTCTTCTTCGGGCTAAAATCAACTCAGCCCAAGTAAAGTCCAAAGGAAAATCAGCAGGCTAGCCCTCTTTTATTTACCAATTGAATCCAATCAAATTAATCAAAACCCAATCCAAAAACTCAACCCAAAGTATTGGATTTTACCTCGTAAACCCAAGCTACAAACCCAGTAAAACAAATAACCAAAATCCAATCAAAATAAACAAACACATCACTACACTTATTTTACCAAAAATCCAATAAGATAATAAATCAGCTAAAACTATTAAGGTCTAATTATAACCTAAAATCCAGAATTAATCTACTAACTGTTATGAAACAATTAAAAGTATGGATGTCCCTTTGTATTCCAAAGGGGATTAATTCATGATTTTATGGCTACATTATGTATAAAAGTTACAATCCATAAATCTATTCATGTAGTGGAGAAACCGTTTCATAGGTTTCTTCATATTATTGTAATAATGGATGTTTAATAGGATTTATGTACCTTTAATCTTGTAGTGCCTATATATAGAGGTACATTAAGACCCTTTGGGTGACTTTTGTATCTTGTTGAAATATAAGGATATCATTCTCCCTTTCTCTAATATCTCTATTCATATTATAGTAGTTTATTAGTTTTCCAACACGTTATCAGCACGAAATCTCTACTTTTGAGCAAAAGGTGAAAACGGAGCCTCTACCGTGAACAAAAATGAAACACGAGACTTTGTTAAAATTCTGCTAGTATCAAATCAACTGTTGGATATTTTTTCGGCAACTTCTGTCTACTTATTGAGGTAAATTTTTAATACATAAATTTATTTCAATTTCTTATGGCTAACATTTGAATGATCAAAAAAATACAAGTGTCTATTACTGTTGAGCAACCACTAAACAAAAACATATATTATTTGACATCTTTGAGGTAATATTTCTCCTTTTAATTCTACTTATTTATCTTTAGAATTATTTGTTATAAATACTTATATTCTGATGCATTGAGTTTTGGAGATGCTATTATAGAAAATCAATTATGCTTGAGGATCCACTTGTTCTTTGAAATATTTAAAGAAAAAGATTCGACCACCTGAAGATGGTCGTTCTTTAACAAAAATATTTGGCCACTAGAAGATGGTCATTATTTCAAAAGCCTGGTATGATAAATTTACCTATGGCTACAAGAATATAATTCTGCAATTTTCAGAATTACTTCTCAGTTGAAATTGTGTCGAGAAAATTTTACTCATAAGATATATTGAAAATGATATTCTCTACAATTGATTTCTCGAACATGCTCCTATAGTAGCAATATTAAGAGAAATTTTGAGAAGTATTTTGTACTTATTGCATACTAGTCCTAGTCCATTCCCAGAAGTGAATGAGACTAAATTTCAATTTACTAGTTATGGTTGATGCCATGACTATGATTTTGGTAAATATATATTTTACCATGATAAGAGAAAAAGTTACCACTTAAAGTGGAATAATAATGATAAGGACAAGAAAATAAAGGTCCTAAAGATAAATGTCCCTAAATACATTTGACGAATCAAAATTATAATATCATCTTCACATGATCAATTTCTTTAAACACCCTGAAGGTGTATGATACTTGATTTAATTTATGATAGTAATTAATTTTTCTTCCTGAAGAAGAAATGGATGTTAAACATTTGGGATCAAAGGATTATGGTGATGATATTTGTCCCATAAGAATTATGGTGACAATGATATGTGTCTCGTTAATAAGTGCTACTATATACACTATATTCTAATAAGAGAGACATACACAATCAGTGATAGTGCTCAAGTGATTGAAAGCTCCAGAAGAGCCACTACTATATTTCTCCCTGTAGGAGAAAAGTTTATCATGAATAAAGTACTACTTTTTATCATGTCTCGGAAAATTTATTGAATTTGAATATCCGTCGAAATGGATATCAAATTGAGACACTAAATGAGACAATAATAGAGATCATGTTTAGAAATCAAATGAGATAAAGGTTAATTGTATCATAATAACCATTCGAGAGAGAAATGGTTATCGATATAGTTGTCTTCATTCTCATTTGATTTATAATCATCACCTGTAGTAAATCAGAAATTTACTGATCCCAATGAATACATGATTTGACGAAAGTGAAAATATTTGAGAGTCCAAATATTTATACATACTCCTTTATATTATATATGGCTCCAAAAGAAATTTAAATTTTATGTTGGGTATGAATAAGTTTTTACGATTAAATATCGTAAAATATTTGATAGGTGATCTATTAAATGATTTATTTATTCTGATGAACTACGATTCCCGACATTAAGGGGAGGAAAAAATCAACCGAAAGGAAATTACCTGAAAAATTGAATTTCCTCGATCCTCATACAAAATAATGTGAACTAGAAGTTCAAGAAATTCTTCATTTGTAGAAAGTTATATTTATCGACTCCAGAAGAATCATTAAATCAACTATTCCTGCAGGAAATACTCTAGCTAAAATTGATGTCCCTGAAGGACATGCACGAGTGTTACAAATAAATTTAAGGCCGGCCTACCTAAATAAAGTATAAATTGATTTGAAATATTTCTGGAGATTAAATGTCATGACAAAAATTCAACCTCTTGAAGATGTTGCTCCTGAAGAGCCAACTCCTGAAGAGAATGAAATCATAAAAAAAATTTAATTGGAGGCTAATGAAATGTAGCACTTGATATTATAGAAGTTGATGAGGATCATGAATCTAAATCGGTTGATGAATGTCGGTATAGAAATGATTGTTCAAAGTGGAAAGATACGATCCAATCTGGATTGGATTTATTGGTTAAAAGAAAAGTTTTTGGACCTGTAGTCCAAATACTTGAAGGTGTAAAACCAATAGAATATAAATGGGTATTTGTGATAAAGAGAAATGAGAAAAAGGAAATTGTGAGGTATAAAGCAAGACTTGTAGTCCAAAAATTTTCACAAAGGCCTGGATTTGATTATGATGAAATGTATTCACCTGTAGTGGATGTTATCGCATTTAGATATCTCGTGTGTTTTGCAGTACATGAAAAATTAGATATGCGTCTAATGGACGTCGTTACTACATATTTATATGAAAATCTTAAAAATAATATTTATATGAGAATTCGCGAAGGATTCAACATGCCTGAAGCATGCAAATCAAATTCTAAAAATATTTATTCTATTAAATTACAAAGGTCTTTGTATGACCTAAAACAATCTGGACGTATGTGGTATAACCGCCTCAATGAATGTTTGACTAAAGAAGGTTATACCAATGATTCAATATGTCCATATGTTTTTATCAAGAAAAATGGATCAAATTTTATGATCATTGTTATATATATTGATGATCTAAATTTGATTGGAACTCCTGAAGAGATTCAAAATAATGTTGAATATTTGAAGAAAGATTTTGAGATCAAGAATTTTGGAAAACAAAATTCTACCTTGATTTACAAATTGAGCATTTAAAAAATGAAATTTTTGTCCTCCAAACTGCATATACCCGAAAGGTATTAAAGCGGTTTTATATGGATAAGGCACATATATTAAGTACTCCAATGATCGTCAGATCATTAGATTCTAATAAAGAATCTTTTAGACCGCGAGAGGAAGATGGAGAGATACTTGGTTCTGAAGTACCATGTCTCAGTGCAATTGGTGAAGCATATTGAAATGCGACGATTAAAAGATATCAAATGATGTTTGCATCAAGGGGAGAAATTAATACACAAGAATAGTGTACTCTTTTTCCTTCACTAGGATTTCTGTCCCGATGGATTTTTCCCTAGTAAAGTTTTAACGAGGCATATTCTTTTGTGTAATGGACATCCAAGGGGGAGTGTTATGAAACAATTAAAAGTATGGATGTCCCTTTGTATTCCAAAGGGGATTAATTCATGATTTTATGGCTATATTATGTATAGAAGTTACAATCCATTAATCTATACATGTAGTGGAGAAACCGTTTCATAAGTTTCTTCATATTATTGTAGTAATGGATGTTTAATAGGATTTATGTACCTTTAATCTTGTAGTGCCTATATATAGAGGTACATTGAGACCCTTTGGGTGACTTTTGTATCTTGTTGAAATATAAAGATATCATTCTCCCTTTCTCTAATATCTCTATTCATATTATAGTAGTTTATTAGTTTTACAACACTAACAGACTACTTAAAAATATAAAAGGATGATTAAAATTTAAAAGGGTGAAATTGGTTCAATTGCAAAAGTATTTGGGCTATAGTGACATTAATTAAAACTTGGGGGAGCAACAATACCTTTTTTGAAAAAGAACATGCAGCCTGTACGAAGAAGCTTTCTTCTTCCTGCGATAATTCTTCTGCAACTTTGCGTCAGCAGTTGGCAGCCATGGCTGTCAGCGGTGACCGACCGCCACCTGTCGCCGATCGCCGGTGATTTTTTCGATCACAAAAAATTATCAAAATATACAACCCAACTCAATTTTTCACGTAGATCCCAATTTCGGAATTAGTTTTTACAAAAATGATTCGAAAGTATCCAAAATGCCAAAACAGTTTGGATTTTTATTTTTTATTTTTTTAAAACACTCAAATATTTATCAAAAACTATAAAATTTATACTGCAACACTCCTTGTGATTTTTACAACATAACTATGAATTGAAATCTATAAAACCAAAAGCAAATATGATAAAATTAAATCAAAACAGTCCTAAAATAAAAAATGACAATAATAATAATAGCAAAAGAAAAACACAAATTAACAATTACACATGTTTATGATATAACTAATTAAAAAAAAAAAAGAAAAGGCTCGAAAAAAAAATTGAAAAAAAATGAAGGGAGATACCTCAATGAGAGTATTAGTCCCTTGTTAAAATTTTTGATGAAATTCCCTAAGCTCCAATCCAACCAGTTGCTGCCTCCTTTTATTGTGTGCAAAAATGTGTTGGAAAAAATATTGGGAAAAAAGAGAATTTTTTTTTTTTTCATTTGCTTTCCTCTGCTCCTTTTGCTCTCTGGAAGTCGAGAGAAGGAGGGAGTGAGAGGATGAGGGAAATTTTTTCTTCTTCTGCCTTCGTCCGTTGAGAGCCAGGACTTCTTTAGCAAAATTTTCTTAGAATTCCTTTCTTCCGTTGCTTCTTTGGTCAAAAAGGATGGGAGGCATCATGATGGCCACCCTCATGATGATGTCTACTGGTCATCATGATGCCACCTTTTTTTTTCAACAAAAAACTGATTTTTGTTTTTCTATTTTTTTTTCTAAAATAAACCTGCAAATATAAGAAAAATACACATTAAAATGCAAGAAAATAAATAAATCATTAAATAAAAAATAATCAAGAAAACATTGAAAATTGACAAAAATTTGATATTTACAGTAACTTTTTTGCCTATTCACTTGAAGATTTAATGGCACTAACGAATGCTATATATAAAATTGTAGGTTGCAAACTGTTGTTTAAGTTAGTGATAGTTTTAAATTTTGGCCTTAAATGTAATTCTGGTAGACTACATTGAGTGATAATGTGAGGCTATGATTGGGAAATAATGTGCAAATAACTGGATCAGGAGTTTTCCAAATGAAAAGAAAACGTGAACCTGATTACAGTACATAAATGCTGCATAACAATTGTGCATTAGATAAGTTTAAGTTGCAATGGGCCAAAGATATGCCTTTTCTATTTGCTTGTGGAGTTCATCTTGAAGTCTTTCTTAGTAACTGCTAGAAAATACATTGCTCGTTCAAGGAAGAGGATGTTGCCGTCAATGAATCAGAGATGCTTTCTATCTGTCTGGCTGTCCAGTTAATCTTGAAGTCTGCTTTTCGCAGGAGGCTAGAGAGTACGAGTCTTGGCATTGGTAAGTCGAAAGCAGTTTTTTATTTGAGTTTTTGTTGTACTCATATAGTCATATTAACCCCATCTTTCAATTAGAATTATTACATTTTAATTGTGGTAGTAATTAAGAATATGAAACATTCCAAATCATTAAATATCAATAATAATGAGAATTAAAATGAAAAACTCCTTATTAAAATTATTTAGCTACCCTTACACACTCCATCTCCAATTCTTCTGTGTGTGTCAAAGTTTCTTACCCGAAGCAATTTCTTACTCGAAATAGTGTGACTAATTGCATTAGCCATAATTTTAAAATTGTAAAAAATATTAGTATAAAAAAAAATAGATGCTTTTAGAGTCCATATTCATTTGAAGAATCATGATATGAATACCACAAAACCGAAGTATAACTATGTGTTTTTTTTATCAATGTGAAGAAATATAAAAAAAAAAAAGTAAAATTAAAAGAATTCAACTATTTCTATCAATTGAATATTAATTGACAACTAAATAGCCAATATGAAATAATAAAGTAGTACAAATAATTTCTATTCTTTATCAACCTTAATAACACTTAGAAAAAAATGTAAATAATCTAAATTCAACAATGCACCTCACATTATTCAATTCAAATTCACAAAAAAAAAAAAAAATTCAACTAGAAAGATATAAAGTAGAATAATTAAATATTCATGCAAAGTTGGATATGAGCATAGTTCATGTGTTTTGTTCTTAAATAATTAATTCATTCTATTTGTACAATAGCATTTCGTTTGTCTTAGCAAGGAACGAATAACATTCAAAATGTTATGGCAAATAATGTTGATACAAATTTTTTTCATTTGTTAAAATTTGTTGATTTCATAAAAAACTTAACCATGACTTTTATTTTCAAGTAAAAAAAGGTACATCTAGACTCTAGCTAGTAAACAAGCTATCTGAGGTGTAATGGAAGGGGTGAGTGCGTTGAAAATAATTAGAATGACAATATCTAACTATCCAATTTATTTACTCTGATACACCTCCATAAATTGATTTTACGGTTTAAGTCGAATAATTATGAATTCTATTTACTAGGTATATATATATATATATATATATATCCTATTTAACAACATCATTTGTTTAATATTAAAAAATAATATTATGTTTTAATGGTAAAAATATTGTGAGTGTTCGTATTAGAATTGTTTATCAAAGCTGAATGCATATTCTACCAAAAAGCTCAAAATAAATTCAAAAATCAATAGATCAAAGAGTTTGTATTTAGATAGTTTTTGTAACAATAGTTGGTTAAAAAATAAAAATATAAAATGTTCTATTATTAGGTAAATAATCAAATTTCACAAAAATAATTATATCTAAGAGATGTTATATTTGGATTAATATAAGCACGTGCAAATTACATGAACCATTCCTAGTTATTTAAAGTGGGTAGATTCTCCTGTTGATATAGAGTTTGACAACAGGCTAACAAAGATTAAAACAGACCAAACGAAATTGGAATGGCGAATTACTAAACAGAGGGATTTGTTTTCATTTTGAAGCTAATCAAAACACAAATCTTTGTAAAAATTCAGTTGCTAAGTAAACTTGGTGTTAGCAATCTTTGAAGATGTAAACTTATGACAGAGCTTTCTAAAAATAAACACTGTGATCAAGTTAAGCTGCTGCCAGCCTGAGTATTGAAAACTAATGTTGGCGGTTTCTGAAAACTAAAGGACCGACCAATATTCTGGGAATGCAAGGCAATACAAAGGGAAAATAGCCAATTTCATCCCTAAATTCTTTTTCTGGGGACGATTTAGTCCATAACTTTTATTTCTGACCAATTTGATACTTGAACTTATTTTGCAGTACTAAGGACCCAAGAGCTTGTAAACTTGGGTTTAATGTGAGGAGTTACTTATGAAGGGGAGATTATTATGTTTATGAGTAAAAAATTATATCCCACATTAATTCGAGAAATCGAGACAGAGTAATTAATAGGTAAGTAAGTGCCTAAGACATAACAACTCAAGCTTTTGGATCAATGTATGGTTTCTAACTTACATATTGGGACTTTGGTAAACTTTCACGAAGTTTTTTTTCCCAACAAGTGGCATCTCTGCAGTGTTACCACTATTTAAAACCGATTTAGTTCTTAATTGATTAACTAAATAAGTGGTATCTACGCTGTGGTACCATTATCTAAAGCTAATTTAGCTCCTAATTGATTGACTAAACAAGGATGTATTTCCCGAACAAGTGGTATCTCTGCAATGGTACTGAGTAGCACCTAAAACCGATTTGACTCCTAATTGATTAACTAAACAAAGGTGTATTTCCCCAACAAGTGATATCTCTGTGATGGTACTGAGTACCAACTAAAACCTATTTGGCTCCTAATTGATTAACTAAACAAGCATGTATTTCTCCAACAAGTGGTATCTCCACGATGGTACTATATCTCTGTGGTACTACCACTATCTAAAACCGATCTGGCTCTTTGTTGATTAACTAAAAAAGGATGTATTTCCCCAACAAGTGGTATCTTCGCAGTGGTGTTGAGTACCATGTAAAACCAATCCAACTCCTAATTGATTAACTAAACAAGGGTGTATTTTTCCAACAAATGGTGTCTACGCGATGGTATCACTACCTAAAATCGATCTGGTTCCTAATTGATTAACTAAACAAAAGCAAACAAGTATATTATGGGAACGTCACTCATGGAACTATAATAAAAAAAATACCAGATAAAACTTCTAAATCCTGTAAAAAAAATCACAAGATTAAACTTTACACTTTTAAATCGTGTAAAAAATCATGAGATTAAACTTTGAATTTTTTTTATATGATTTATTACAATCCCGTGAGTGACGTTCTCAAAATACCTCTATTTAGTTGATCAATTAGGACTTTTAGATAACAGTTTTTTTTTTTTGGCCCAAAAACAAATAATAGATGTACGTTGGCATCAGATGGCATAGAAACCGGGCTCACAGAAAATGGAGCATGCCTTTGAGTAGTTTCTAATTCATTGCATACAGAGTCTAGCAACTGTTCTAATTCATCACTGTTGATAGCATTTCTAGGCTCAAAGAAATAAGACTGACGACCCCCTAAATGTTGACCACTCACAACTTTAGGATGCTCAACATAATAGTCCTAGATAGAAACACTAGGGACATAAACACCTGTTTCTATATGGCCTAATGGTGTTTTGCGAACACAACTCACATGCTTCCTCTTATACATGCGAGCCTAAGCTGTGAAATCAGAAGCAGCAGAAGCCATCTTCTGTTTCTTTGCAGCATTAGCCTCTCAACGATGGTGCAAGAGGTCATCTTTTTTATCTTGTGGAATTTCTGCATTCCTTTGACCGCGTTTGGCATTTCTATCCATGGAACTCTCAGAGACTAAACTAATAGCGCACAAACATTTTCTCATGCAAGGTAATGATTAGACAAAAATATCATCAAAGAATACCCAAAAAAAAAAAAATCAGCAGAGCAAAAGCTAAAGAGAATATGTAATTACGATACATGGTGGAAGAATTGTCAAAGTAAATTTAAAACCATAACACGAATTATCAATTTGAATCACTTTCACTAATTTCATTATTTAAAGTTGTGGTTAACAGATATTGTTTTCTTTCTGGAACTCTGTTAGTCATCCCTTCTCAATTTAGAACTTTTTCTAACGCATCTTCATCTGAAGAATGCATCCCAGTTAACATTGATTTTCTTTCCGTTCTCTTTGTTTGCCTATATATGTAGTTCCATTAGATCTCAGGAAGCAGAAAAATATAAAATGCAAGACATGTAAACCACCATGTAAGATAAATGTAAAGTAGCATGCAGGATAAAAGAGAACCAGAAAAAATATTCCACTTCACTTTTCACAGCTATAACAACGTGTAACCTAAGGGAAAATAAGAGGAAGAGAATGAATACCTGTCTTCTGAAGAAGCAATAGCAGTTGGCGGAAGGATGCTGAGGATAGTGTGAAGAGCCAGAAACCAAAGCAGCAGGACACATGCAATAGAGGCATGGTTTGCTATCGTGAATCGCGGTCTCGGTTGTTCTACATATGTCGCAGCATATCGATTGAATATCGGACGATATGTACATTATAGCACATAAAAAGTTTCAAAAAATCTGAAAACATTACTAAGATTAGAAAATACCAAAAAAGACACAATCTGAAAAAATATTC